TTGACTTGGATAATGTTGAGACATTTCCCAAAGACATTGGTCAACAATAGTTGGTCCAGCCCAACTGCAGCACAGTTAGGACTGTCCCAACTATAGTTGGGACTTATGGCATGAGGCGTAACAATATCATTCACAAAGATTTAAAAGCAGTCTTTTCCTACATCCTTCCTCCATTATGCCCATGCTCCATGGTTATGCAATACAGTGGCAGTGCACTACCATGACTACAACGTTGGAGCTATAAAAAGGTCCTTTTTTATAGCTCCACGCTACAATACAATTTACAAAGTTGAGTTAGTTGGCAGGGCCGGGCTATAAATTTGTCTTTGGTTAAGGACCTCTTAAAAACCAACCCAACTAAGTCCAGGCAGTATTGTGAATTATCTGTCGATGCTGATCTGCACTGACGTTTGACTAATTTTTGGCACCCGTTTAAATGTCTTCCGAGCAAAACTTTTTTAAAACTTCTAGCACAGAATCTCGCGTGTCCTGTCATGGGAGCTGCCATCTTCACCTTAGACTGGTTCCCGTCCCATACGTATTTAGTCTCCAGACGTCTTACAGATGGCGGATCCAGGGTCAAAACTCTGTCATGTATCATGCATGACTTAATGTAAACTTAGCCCAATCAGACGGTTTTATTTGCACCCACAGCTAACGTTACAAAAATCGAGGACAGTTAACACCCCTGGTGCTTTGTTAATGTTGTGAACACCTGTGTTCGGTCCCCTAGATAGACTGTGCATGCATTTTAGTTTGTGTATTCGCGCATGCGCAATAGTGACGTAATGGTCGTCGGCATGAAAAATTATTCTAGCAGACGACGCATATCGGTGGTGACCCATGTGAGGGATTTGTTCTGCCATTTCCCTTGAAGACCTCGTAGGTGAATAAATTGCAAAGAGTCTATCAAATGTAGAACCTTCGGATAAATTTGAGTTTGGTTCTTTCAAGGGAAGCTGTGGAAGCGCTATTCATTTTACTCGAATCAAACATGTTGGAAGTACATGAATATCGTCTCAGAATCTGTGGAAACAAATCTAATGGCAAAACATGTATTGATACTTTTTGGCTGCATGTATCAGGGGATAAGGGTGGAAAAGCACTAAAACGACCCTTCAAATTCTCAAAATGAAGAAGAGCCAGTCTGTGAAATCTCTGAACCTGTTGGGTATATTTGAGGGTGGCAAAGATGATAGGATAAAATGGCATTCAAGCCAGTTTTTGAGGATCTGCCGAAGCTCACAAGGGATATCTCTAAGCTGCAACTCCCCAAACCAGAAATTCATGACAAACAGTTCACAGAAGAAATGGTTCAGGCCAGGACTGATGAAAAACTGAATTTCACGCCTCTGGAACAAATTGATCACCGTAACATGTTCATCAGCCCTGATTGCAGGTACTTCCAGCCAGCTGTATCCTCATTTGGAGAACAGGAGCAGCCCATTTCCAAAAGAGAAGAACTTAAAATGTATACCAAGTGTAGACTGACTTGGGGTGGTGATGAAATGCCAAAGTTCTTGGGTTGACGGGTCCAACTAGTTTGCATTTTTGCCCCAATTGCCTCGTAACACTGAATGACCTTACAAGGAAATCGTCATGCTCTACATGTTACTGGGGAAAACCAGAATGAGGATAGAGATGGTGGCGTGCTTGCATACGGTCAGCAAAGCGACCTAGCAACCTGTCATATTAAGGCCAAAGAGTTTATTGTGTGCAAAACAAAAAAAAGAACAGGCTAAGCATTACGACAACTATATTCAGCATCCAATGGTCGGCACTGAGGGTCGTGTTATTGAACATGTGTCAGTTAGCCCCCTACATGTAGGTTTAGGGCTTAGTCTGCAGATGTTTTAGATTGTTGAACAAAATGCAAACGAGTTCGATCAGGAAATCTTTATGACTAATGGGATATATCATGCTGTGGATGTATGAAGACTCGGGTAGAGAACATTCTCAGTTGCGCAGTTCAAAGATGAAACTTGAGGATGATCTTGAAGCTAAACGTGAACAGTTTGCTCAGGTCCAATTGAACAATACCAATCATTTCTCCAAGACTGATCAGAAATTCAGAAATTCAAATTCAGAATGTTCCGGGGCCATTTATGAATGGATTCGGCACAGTCTTAGAAGGATTATTAGGAAACACGTTTATCATAGTGGATTGTTAATTGTGGCTGATGGACCCAAGATCTTAAAAGATGCAAATTACGAGCAGTTTTCTGAAATTTTCTTTCCTTTTAGTATTAATACACCAAATGGGTTCCAAACATTTGGGTCCAAGGAGTTGTCTGATAAAATCAGCACAATGTTTGACAAATTTAAATCATGCTACGACTTGTACACAAGAAACAGATTACTGTGCAAGCATGAAGTTGAGTTGCTGGTTTTGAAGTGCTCCCAATTTAATTGGTGGTTCCTATAAACTTTCCAACTGAAACCTGAAGCGAAAATTCCATCTCCTTACAGTTAAAGTACCAACTGAAAGCATTCATGCATATGCAAATAAATTGGAACACATTTTTATGAGTGTTTGCAAACCTGAAAAGCGACAAAACTGATATTGTGCTCAGACAACATGCAATGTACAGCTCACCTCAGTTATGAGATTACAAAATGTAATCGTACAGCAGGAGTCGAAGATTTAGGTTTTGGAGGCTAGGGACCGGAGAGTTTTAATTACCAGTATACGTATCACGTCTTAACTTCTACCATAATGAGTATATCAGGATTACAGTAGGTCACGAGCAGTCAGTTAATCAGACCACTAAATTGGGTTTGTGACAAGTCTTGGAGTATCCAGTTGTCACCTTACACCCAAGGAAGTGATCTGTATTGGTTGCTTACCAATCACAAACATTTTAAATGAGTTGATTTTGTTAAACTCCTTCTGTGTTCTTCTTCTATCGTAACACTTCCCTGCATTGTTCATTAAAAAAGATATAATTCAACGTTCGAAAGTAATAATTATGGTACAGGGCCTAAAGAGCATTCCAACAGTTTACATGAACTAGCCCTAACAACTGAAATCCCCCGTCGGGTCGTAACTCGTACCAGAGTTGAATGTACCGCTGACATGACCTCTGGGAAGGGTTTCTAGTTCACTGACTCTCTTCAGTGAGTGGTGCATTGATAAAAAAAAAAGTGCCAAGGTTTTTATGCTTTGTGCATATTTTTGCGAAAGTGTTTGTATATGATTTCAATGGTAGGTCGTGAAAACCGGCCCCGCGCTACGCCATTTTGATAATCTGAACGCGATAACGAACGTCCGGAAGCAACGACGCAGCGGAAAACTTGGAATTTTGAAATGTTTAATCCTTCACCTATCAGTCCTTCTCACCAAAACTTGAAAGGTAAAGTAGATCTGGATATTTAAAGACTGAAATTTGTTGCACAGTTACTCGGAGCTCTATTTTGTTTCTCTCCATCTCTCTCTCTCTCTCTCTCTCTCTCTCTCTACTCCTCTTTTGAAAAAAACACGCCCTTTGACTTTGTTATCCTTTTCGAAAGTTTGAAATGGTAACAGATTGATTAGAATTGTCAATTCTTATTTACGGGTTAAAACGCAGAGCGTAAGCCCAAACTTTCAGTGCCAAGAGATGCCTGATGGCAACAGATCAAAATACACATAAAACTGTGCTTTCAATAGTGGTATAGGCTAGCTGATGTGATGTTAACGGGTTTGTGAGATGTAATAACCTGAAAAATGCACATATTGAGTCCCATTTTAACCCAGCAAAAATTCTTGTTTTGTTTTGTTTAATGGATGGTTTGGAGAATTCTCGGTTTTTTTATGTTGACGTTATGTTGAATATAGACAGGACGACTTCGAAATATTTCGGCTATTTCCGGAAAACTGGAGGAAATCCTCCAGTCTTGGTCACGTGGACATTGGGTGATACTGGACACAAATCATTCTTGGAGTAATCAGAGTCATCGGATCTGGTATCCAGACTACATTATTTGGATCATCTCACAGCTTGAGAGAGCCGATTGTTTTCCAAACTTGCCATACATGTACAGACATTCCTGATCAGTACAAAATAAAGTGAAATTTCAAATCAATCTACAATACGGTTTTGTTACTTAAGGCCACGCCCAGGCCAGCCCGCTGGGGCGGCGACAGTGAAAAATATATATTATTTTCAACTGACCCGTCTTGGAAAAATTGGCGGCGTGCGAGAGCGGTGTGTGATTATATTTTCACAAACTTGGTGCCAAAACAATTCTAAAGAGTTACTGAAACAACTCCAAAAGGCGCGGATCGTGAAAATGATACACTGCGGCGATATCCGGCTAATGTCGAGGGGTGGGGCGGAATCAGCCCCGGCTCTATTAGGGTTAAATTTTCGCTTCCTTGTGGTAGTTTGTTCAAATTGTTGGTAACGCTCAATGGGAGTGGGCCACTACTGAACAAAATTTTCAGACATATTTTCTTTGAGAATAAAATAATGTAACTTTTGAACTTATTTCTGTTCCCGAACTGTTCAAAGTCGGATTATTTTGGGAGTGTCCTCAGTGAAATGTGCCCACGGATAACACAGATGCAAAGGTACTAGAACCAGCCGGGTTTTCCCTTGTTTGCCAATATTAATTAGTATTGTAACAGGCGGATATGTAGCCCACACGCTGGGACGATATTTCAGATTGCAGGGGCCCGAAATATGATTTCAGTTCTTATTTAGGAAAAATGGTTTCAACAGTGAGAATATAATTACCTGGTAGGCACAAACACCGGCTGTGCCACTAAAGGGTAACATTAATGGATACCCCAAGGTGTCTTAATACTACACAGAAATTAAGATTAATCGTAATTTTCTTTCCGGCCCAGCTGAGAGACTTTCATCGGCTGACTGTTGTAGGCCTGTATTGGTCTTGTTCGAGCTTTTGGTGCGGAACACGTACACCGCATGCATCGCCGGTGGTTTTTCACAATGGAACGACACAAACAAGACCTGGGTGTGTTATTTTGGTTTGACACAAGGGAAGGTCGGGCTAACAATACTTTGTGAATATGTTCCTCACGTAAACTTTTATTGCCTTTCCGAAGGGTGAGGTGACACACTTTTCCGGACAGCTGTTAGCACACTAGGCCAGCTGTCAAATATGTCTGGTAAAACCAGGTGCTAATCTGTCGGTCGCTTGTGCAGAGCAGTTTACGTATGTTCACCCACCGCTGCCGCAGCACCGCGCTGAGCACATCAATAAACGAACGAACCTCTCGTGGGAACAACATCAGAGTCTTTGGTTTTCCTCGGCAGAAAAACGAGGACTGCCTTGTCCTTGCAAAGAAATTACACAAGACAAATTTCCTTGGAGGATGTCAAGTTGGAACGTGCTCTTTGTGATAGGCCTGAACTTGACGGCAAGCCTCAGCACCTTCTTATCATAGAGCTACAATCCATGCTTTTATAGACCTTCACCCACGTGACTGGATTGCGCTAAATGTAAACAATACCACTACGTGTGGACCGCTATGACTACGGTGATCGCATAATCCTATGGGCAGCTTTAACTACGCACAAGCGCACGTGCGAACACTGCATACCAGCTTATCTTGAATAAGTAGATTACCATCACATTTGCAACACTCAATCAATGTGGTTTTCGCTCACATTATTCCACAGACATGGCTCTTAGGCTCATACACTGACCTTATTTCCAATTAAACTATTTCTGTTTCGTCACTCCTTTGTTCAAATTGTAAATTATTTTTACGAATCTACAGCAAATTATTTTTACGACTTCTCCATTTCATTGAGTCCTGTGGTGGTTTTAGTCCGATAGGTTTTGCTGCAATGACACACGTATAATAATAATGAACCGAGGCGCAAAAGAATAAAGCATGTATCCAGCACTGACGGTGTTGACTGCACGTGTACTGTCACGTAGCCAAAAACCGTGCACAAATACAAAGGTGTGCACTCCAGCGTTGAGTTAAAAGAGAGAGCGTCAGAGACTCGGGGCCCGACTCCGTGTTCGTGCAACAGTGGCAAATGGTATACGTCAGAGAATAGAACCCTGAACTGTAGATTCATGCAGGAATAGGCTCGGCTTGTTCTTTTCACAAATCTACAGTCCAGTGTTGTAGTCGAGACCTTTATGTCCGAGACCAAGGCATTCGA